TCCCATTTCACTCTCTCCACAATCGCCAAGCTCAGCCCAACCCCCGTCGAACTTGCTGCCACTTCCCTCTCGACACCACCTCCTTCCAAATTCCCACACCCAAATATCTCCTCCCAATTCTGCTGAAGCGTCATTTCGTAGTACGGCGAGTTGCTCATCTGAGACCCGACCTCCCCATCCCGAATGAAAATGAAAGGGCAATACCACTTCCCCACCACCACCGGGTCCGAGGCCGAGTGCTTCTTCCATGGCCTCCAAGTTTTTGTTAAGGGGTGTGGTATAAGCTTTCCAGCCCTCGTGTGTAACGAAATATGGACGAATCCCGTCCGGAGCTACAGACTTGGACACAAAACCGTAGGATCCTCCATGCTCTCATAAATTACTAAATTTACAAATTTTCTACGAAGTGACATATAAACAATACAAAATTTAACCAATGAACCACGTAATATCATTGTTAGAGAAATGTCAAATCACAAAAATAGTAATGAACTTTATCACAAAACTACAGAAATGAAAACATTTAAACTTTGCAAACAAAATACTCTAATCCAAACCTAAGTAAAACAACTTACACAGCAAAAATAGTCTAAATTCTAAATCCAACCATAAGAGAACACTTCTAATTTGATAAAATCCTCGGAAGCAGAACAGAAGGGAAGGAGAAACGAAGCAAATACCCTTTTGCTTTGCCAGTGGATTGGATGACATAATATTGGTTGGAAGACAAAGGCTGATTGAGAACGGGAATCAGCATTGCGCGTAAGTAATCTGTGTGATTGTCCTTGCCTCCATTTGTGGAATACGAATAGGAAAGCTGCAGCATCTTGTTCTGAGGGAACGGCGGCGCCTCCACCGCCCTCTTCACATACTTTGTGTTAACCAATCCAAAACAGCATCTGAAATCCACCATTTCATCTTCGTCCATCACCAGAACCCCTGTGTTTGGGCCCTCCGGCTCCGGCGCCGGCGCCGCCGAAGGAGGGTAGTAATTTCTGTACATAGAAAGAGGCCTCGTTACGTACATTCTCTCTCTGCTATCGCTAATTGTAATTGATTTCTCATCTGCTCTCTCTCTGGCGTTGATTTCGCTGGTTACTTATAGAGGATGAGCTCAACGTTTCAAGATTCAAGTAAAGGTCTATGTGTTTCCTATGCAATTTTCACAGAAATGATTCAGATCTGTTTTTAAACTGCCTTTAGATTTTGTTAGTAAAAATTCTGAAAATTCAGTGTTGAATAACATTTTAAAACTTACATAAATTTACTATATTTCGTGTAATATACTTATTTTATTATTATTATTTTTTTTTGAAATAAAACATAGTATATTATAAATTATAATATTATAAACTAGTAATTATATATACAAAATTTATAACATAAGTGTTAGTAATATTTTAGTTTAAACTAAACATTACACATTGTGAAAAGAAAAAGAAAGCAAAAGTGGTTGCAAAATGGGAGCAGTCTAAACGGTGAAAATGAGGTTGTGAGAGAGCAATACAAGCATCGTGCTTCTAGGTGAAACGGTAGATCGGAGTGTTGCATCCTAGATGACGAGGGTCTAGTAGCTAAAAGCATCACTAGTCTACAAACCCGAGTAGCATGAGGCATGTGGATTCCAATGTGAATTAGCAAGAACTACCTTGCAAGGCTAAATACTTCTAGATGATTGATAGTGAACAAAGTAGTATCATGAGGGAAAATAGCATGAAAAGAACCCTTGTCGGAGAGTAGTGGGAGGAGGAGACAAGGACTCTGACCGTGTGTTTGTAGACACCACTAATTTACAAATATACTACTAAATAAAAACTGAAATGAGTTTTTAAATTGAGATTTAATTCTTAAATTTTTCATTGAAAACCTTATTTTCAGATTTTTGTTTTTAGAAGTATGAACAGAACCAAAGGCGCTTTAAAGTTTATGGTTTGAAAGTAAGAAAGAAATGGTTTGCAATGGTCATAGGAAATTAAGATGGAGAAGAGAGAAGAAAGATGAAAAACGCGGATTTGGACCACAATTTGGTAGGTTTCCACGTGGAAGAAGGAAGAAGGTAAGGTGTGCACCATAAATTTTGTCAAACTTAATTTAATTTCGATAGTTGGCAGAGAAACATCAAAGTCGTCATACACACCCAAATCGGGGATTATTGATTTGGGGGAGTCGATATCATAACTCATAAATCGGAAATTCAATTCTCTTTCCATGAAAACTGGTCCAATTTTCCCAGATTGTGATTGAATATCACAAACGTCGAACAGCTCCAATGATTGAACAACATCAACAACTGTGAAAGAATCTGTTTCCGATCGTAACCCTAACTTGTGGTTGAATTGAATTTTTTTTATTTTCTCTTTTTTAATCTGAAGTTCTTTAGTATGAAAAGTAAATTTGAATAGTTAATTAGCCTATAATTTTGAAGTTAGTGTTTTAGTGCTGAGTTGTAGAATTTGTGTTTTGAAATTCAATTGTTTAGTTTTTTTTTCGTGTGGGACGGGAGATCGAACTCACAATCAAGGTTAGAAATATAGGTCGATTATAAGTTAATTTTACAAGTTTTGGCAAATTGAGTTGTTTAGTTGGAGTTTAGTCCGTTACTAAAATTAGT